GAAAGAAAAGAGAAGAGAAAGAAGGGAAGAGAAGGTATAGAATAGAATAGGAATAGAGTAGAGTAGAAGAGAGAAGAGAAGAGAGGAGAGAAAGAAGAAAGAGAAGAGAAGAGAAAGAAGGGAAGAGAGGGTACAGAATAGAATAGGAATAGAATAGAGTAGAGTAGAATAGAGAAGGGAAGAAAGAAGAGAAGAGAAAGAAGAGAAGAAAAGAGAAGAGAAAGAAGAGAAAGAAAAGGAGAAGGGAAGAGAAGGTATAGAATCAAATAAGAATAGAGTAGAGTAGAACAGAGAAGAGAAAGAAGAGAAGAAAAGAGAAGAGAAGAGAAAGAAGGGGAGAAGGGAAGAGAAGCAGTGGTGGAATTTATCCGGTGTGTACCGGTTTAAGAGAACCGGTTGTTAACTCCCTGAGCAGTTTGGTGAACTGGTTGTCGGAAGAAACCAGAGAACCGGGGGTTAAATGATTTGAATCCCACCACTCTTCCATCATGGCCAATGAGCCAAGGCCGACCTGTAGTTTGTGACCTCCACACACCCCTGAGACACAACCGCAACCACGCCACACACACAAAACCCTGTACTTGGCCGGATGTATTTGGTGCTTTCCTTTGGCGATAAGGGCAGCACAGATGGGCGCTTGTTTTTCCTCCGCACAGCGTCCATTTCGAGAAAGGATTTGGTGATGTAGATGTTGTCGAAACTGTCCTCGTGCAGGTAATGTTTTCGGTACAGGAGAGCCCTGGAGAAGAAATTCCTTGTCGGTGGGAAAGGAGACCCATAAAAATAGCAAGGTCACATTTCCTTCCGTCTTTCATCTCTGGGGGTCCATCCGAAGGACCCAAACATAGAAACACCTAGAATAACAGAGTTGGAAGGGGTACCTTGGAGGTTACCTAGTCCAACCCCCTGCTCGAGCAGGAGGGCCTGTTCCAAATATTAGCCTCTACCTAGGATCGAACTCACAGCCTTCTGATTTGTGACAGTGAGAACAACCAACCAAAGGGATCAGAGGTTGCCCTTGGAAGTGGTGGGAGCTTCATCCCTGAAGGTTTTCAAGAAGAGACTGGACTCCCATCTGTCGGGAATGGTGTAGGGTCTCCCGCTTGGGCGGGGGGTTGGACTAGATGACCTATAAGGTCCCTTCCACCTCTGTTATTCTGCCCTTCCCTGGCTCACCCCAGGTACATGTAGAGCATGACCAGAGTGGACATGTAGCCGAAGAGTCCCACCGCTTCCCGTGCCGGTTGTAGACGCTGGGACACTTCCTCCATGATGTCGAAGGCCACCTCCGACAGCTTCTTGCTGGCGTTGACGCTCACCTCGTACTGGTGGATGGTGGTGATGTTGAATTCGAACTCGGCCCGCACGCGATTGAGCATGGCCACGACGGCTTGGAGAGAGACAGAGACAGAGAGAGAGACAGAGACAGAGAGAGAGACAGAGAAAGAGAGAGAAAGAGACAGAGAGAAAAAGAGAGAGACAGAGACAGAGAAATAGAGAGAGAGAGAGAAAAGAGACAGAGAGAGAAAGAGAGATGGAGAGAGAACGAGAGAGAG